CCCGCCGTGGCCGCCTCTCGGTCGCGCGCCGCCTCCGCGGAGCCACCGCTCGCCAAGGTTCCAGGGCCGCCGCGACCGACGCCATGCCGCCGACGTCATGCCACGCGCCAGCCTCCCGCCGCGGCGCCTCCCAGTGGCGCCACAGAACGCGCCGCCTCACGCGCCGTCACTACCTGCCAGGGTTCTAGCGCGGCCGCCAGAGCGCTGACGTCTCCGCCTCCAGACGCGCTCTACGTCATTGCCGCGGGCCGACTCGCGGGACTTCTGGCGGCGGAGGCGGGGTGGCGGGTGACCGCGGTGCCGCTGGGCTAAGGTGAGGGGCGGAGGGAACCTGAGACGCTGCTCTGGAAGAGGTGCGGTCGGCCGAGGCGTGCGGAGCTGAGGAGAGGGAGGTTGTAGGCCGACACAGGTGCCCTGGGTCCCCCCAGGCACTTCCTCCTTCCTTAAATACTTAAGCAAACTGCCTCGTGTTCCGATGGATCGCAGAATACTGGCCAGCATTGGAGACCGGGGGCAGTGATCTCGGGAAAAGTGGCATTAGGACTGAAATTGGGAGTGACCAAAGGGTTATCGCGTGGAAGGATTAAACTTTGTTTTGCGTTTTCTCCCAGAGTTACCCAGACCATTGAAAGGAGGTTACTGGGAGGAGTTAAAGTCTCCTTCATGGATGGATAATTAATAAATTAACTTCACGGATGGATAACTTTAATGCTTTGAACCACCTGTGTCTGGACAGCGGCGTCCTGGAAGTTGCATGCTGTATCGAGTTGTCTTCCTCCAGTGGGAGGTGAAAATGTATGAAAGTTCTCTGAAAGTTCTGGAAACCACATACATACAGATTAGGCTGTCCAGGTGCACTTCCGTAATTTAGGTTCCATTATTACTTAAGCAACTACTCAGTTTGTGTGGCTGCCCTTAAACAGCCAGCACTTCACGCTTGTTCTTTTTCTCTTCCGGGAGGTTTGCTGCCGATGCTGGTAAATCCTACCCGCTGTCTATTTGTCTTGAAAAATAATCTTCACCATTATAAAAAGCTCTTTTGAGAAGTCACATTCATTTAGCCTTGTGGGTCACATGCAGTCTCATGGGTTTCTGAAACCGTTCATTCTTTGTGTTTACTCAGCGCTGAGACACTGATGTGTGAACTGGAAGCTTAAGACTTTTGAAGAAATCCTCAGATTGGCTTTGAACTAGAAAACTCAGAAATATCAGAAACTACCTCTGCCTGCCCAGCATGCATCTCCTCTCTGGGGCATTCCCTGAGAGGAACTGGAAGAGGTCCCTTTGCAGACAGCCATGCAGATGTTCCTGAAACCAGACTGCCAGGTCTGACTTGTCCAGTAGATTTAGTTAGTCAACTTCAGTATGTTTCCTCCCCGAGTTCTTCTGTAACAACCTGCCAGGAAGGGAAGTCATGCTTTCATGTTGAATGAAAAGTCAGCAAGTAGTGGCTGTGACAGAAACCACCTGACCCAACCACACCTGGAGTCACTGGATTGGAGATACAGCTGGGGACAGAAAAAACCCAGATGAAAAGGATGAGGCCAGCTGAAGAGTAAATGGCAGCCACCACCCTTTCAGAGACAAAGTCAGCCTCATGGTGAGTAGCAAAGCCTGCCTGATGCTGCTCCCCTCAGGCTGCCAGACAATGCTTTGGATGGGTTGAAAATCCTCAGCCAGATTACCTTGCTTTTATTAAGAAAAGAAAATGCCATTTTCCTTTAAGCAACCCCATCAAACATGGGAGCCATTTGCAGAGCTTATGTGTTTGAGTCTTGCAAGCCTTGGACTGGGGATTTTGCCTAGTAGTAGAGTGCTCACTTAGGATGAGGCCCTGGATTCAAGCTCTTGTACAGCAAAAATAAGTAAAACCCTCAAAACCTTGCAAGTTTCGTGCAGCATCTGTACATGTGAGGCATCGCTGGTAGATGATTGTGAAAAGACCCTCACATGATGGCAGAGCCAGCCTTGATGACAGCCTAGATGTGGTTGCTCCCCATGAGGAGGCAGAAATGGTTACAGGTGAGGATTGGCCAATCTGACTCTTGAAGGCTGTTGCACAAGGTCTTCCTGAAACTCCTTCCCCACCCTTCATGGATTCATCCTTTTTCATAATTTGGTTCAGCAAACGTTTGTGAGAGGTGAAAGTGAAAGGTATGGTTTAACTAGATTCATCAGGATTTAGTGGATGATTGATTACATATGGCACAGAAATGTGGAGCTGTTCCACATGATGCCCAGGTTGTCCTTGGTGTACCTGGAAGAGCAGGTTACCTTCAGAATTGGAGAGTAGGACTGGGATAGCTTTGGATCCACAGCGGCCTTTCATGGAGGCTTTTGGTCTGCACTTGACCTGTGGCCAATTGCACATTGGGTCCTGGAGCTTGAGAAAGTGGGTGATGCTGGAACATCACCTGTGTCTGTTGTGAGGAAGAGGAGGTGGGAGGGCCAGGAAGAGTATAGACCCTACAGGAGTGCTCAGGTGACAGTGTTGTGTTCCAGCCTCGCCAAGGCGCTTTCTGAATTTGAGAAGTAAAAGTAAGGCCCAGCCTCTGCTGAGTTTGTCTTGTGGTCATAAAGAGGCAGTCCGATGACCAGGATACCGGGCATAGTGACTCACCCTGTAATCCTAGTAGTTGGGAGGCAAACACAGGAAGATCGGGAGTTTGAAGCCAGCCTGGGCTATAGTGAGGGTATCTGGGGCAGGGTGGGAACCTAGGGAAAGTGAGGTGGCTCTGGAAACTCAGGAAAAAGTTCCTCTATGCCGGGGAGGTTGGAAAGGGAAGGAGGGAGCTTGGTTGAGTGATGCTCAGTGCCTGGTCAGGGTTTGAAGGTCAAGAGTTTGGTTTAACTTACAAAGGCCTCAGTCTTACCCATTACAGAGATGCATGTCTGCTGCAGGCTGTCTGTAGGCATCCTTTAAGTGAACCCCTGAGTTCCCTGTGGAGGGGCTGCTTCTGAGGTAATAGTGGTAATAGTGGCACATGTCTGCTCCAGGCTGCCCATGGCATCTGTTTAGTGAGCCCCTTGGTTCTTGTGAGAGCTGCTTTTGATTGTTGCGCTGCGCATGTTCAGAAGTGGAGTGGAGACACCCCAGCTTCCTTTCTTATCAGAGCTGTGGAGACAGCTGGAAAGTACTCCCACCATATGGTCGTGCTGTTAAGGTTGAGGGTTTTAAGCATGAGCTCCCCAGTGGTGAGCTCGTTTCCTCCTGGAACTCCTGCCTCCTGGGCAGATGGACTGACGGCTGGATGCTGGCCTATCTTTATTCTGCCTGTGCTACACTTTGGAATGGTTTTACAGTTTGTGACTGCTGTGCTCTGGCTCACAGTGGAGTATCGATCCCTCTTAGTACTGGGGACAAGAGTAAGAAGGTACGCATGGATCTGTGCCACTGACGGGGACATGGCTCCATTATGTTCTCTTGCCAGGTGGAATTACTTTTTCCTGTATGACGGTTCCAAGGTGAAGGAAGAACGGGATCCAACCAGAGCTGGCATTTGCTACTTCTTTCCCTCCCAGGTGAGCTGCACAGATCTTACTGCTCAGTGGGGCTGTTGATGGTCCTGGGGATGAAACCCAGGCTTGAGTCTGCTAGGCAAGCACTCCACCACTGTCCTCTATCCCCAGCCCTTTTTTTGACCTTACTTAAGGAAACGTTTATTTATTTGTATTTTATGTGTATGAGTGTTTGGCCTGTGTATCTAAGTGAACTCAGCGTTCATTGCCCTCGGAGGCCTGAGGAGGGCTTTGGATCCCCTGGAACTGGAGTTATGGATGGTTGTTAGCTGCCATGTGGGTGCTGGGATTCAAACCTGAGTCTTCTGTAAGAGCAGCCAGTGCTCTTAACCATCTCTCCAGTCCCAATTTTTTATTTTTTAAAAATTTTTTATTTTGTTTTATTTTTTTGGTCTTTTTGAGACAGGGCCTCTCTGTAGCCCCAGCTGTCCTATGAACTCACTATGAAGACTAGGCTGGCCTTGAACTCACAGAGATCCGCCTGCCTCTGCCTCCCGAGTGCTGGGATTAAAGGTGTGCGCCACCATGCCCGGCTCCCAATTTTTTATTTTTTAAATTGAGACAGGGTCTCCCTATATAGCCCTGGCTGACCTGGAACTCACAGAGATCAGCCTGCTACTGCCTACCAAGTGCTGGGATTAGAGCTGTATGCTACCACACGTCAACCAACTATTATGAACTCTTACATGCCATTGCTGTGTCAGTAGCTTCCAGCACTGTGCCAGTTTTGTTTATCTGTCCTAGTGCCCACTTAGGCTTTTTTTAGAGCAAATTGAAGCAAAATCTAGACGTTATGAACCTCCCCTCTCAGTATCAAGTAACTTTTCTAACTGAAGTACGTCATATCATCATCACACTCAACAAGTTAATAATGGTAATTCCTTTACATCATTAATACCCAAGCTAGATTCTAAATTTTGCCCTATCTTCGCTATCACTCTGTTGACTGACTCTAGTTCCCGTCCCCATTCCCTAACCAGGACCCTAACAACACCCCAGTTGTTGATTTGGTCATTTTGTACTAAGTTCCCTTTTATTAAAAAGTGCTGATCCAGCCAACCATCTGTAATTCTCCTTGTTCATTAGATTACTGAGGAGCCAGATCTCCTGTCCCATACCTGTTGTTTTTATGATCCTTAAGTATAAAAACTGTGCTGGTAGGATGGCTCAACAGGTCCAAGCACAAGCCTGAAAATGTGAGTTTAATATCTGGAACCCCTGGTGGAGGGAGAGAATCAGTTCCTGAAAATAGTCCTCTGACCTATGTACATGTGCTGTGCCACACGTGCCCAACTCACACACAAATAACAATAGTAATGTTAAAAGTTTAAGAATACATAAAAACTGGCATGGAGGAAAATAGGCAGCAGATGCTGGCTCTGGCATGAGGGCTTTAGTTTGCATAGAATGACAAGTGCAGAGTTTCACCCCGTCCTTTCTGCAGACCCTGTTGGACCAACAGGAGCTGCTTTGTGGCCAGATTGCCGGCGTTGTGCACTGTGTGTCAGACCTTTCTGGCTCTACCCCTTCTCTCATCCGTCTTCGGAAGCTCAAATTTGCCATAAAAGTGGATGGGGACCACCTCTGGGTAAGTTTGAAGGGACAGAATTGGTGTTGGGGTGTTGGATGACGTCCCCAGAGTCTGCCCCCCACCCTGCCTCCTGCCACTGTGTACTACGTTCAGTCATGGTGCACTCTCCCCTGTGACTGAGTACTCCTTGAACCTGAATGCCCTCTAAACATTCCTTTGATTTGAGGGTCAAACCAGCCCAGGGCCTCACAGATGTTATACATGTGTTCTGCTGGCCTTAGACAATGTTGAATAAAGGTGGAGAGATGGCCCCTGTGTCTTGCAGAGGTTTAGAGGAAATGTACTTTTCCCTACTCAGTGCAGTGCTGCTGTGGCTTTGTCCCAGGCAGCCTCTGATTCTGTGATGGCTCCTTCCACTCCTATTGTCTAAGCACTGGAATTATGAAGAGATAGAGAAGTTGGTTGAGGCCTTTTTGCATCAATTGAGATGATATTGTGGTTTCTGTCCTTACATCTATTAATGTGCATATTTACACTGACTGATTTGTGTATGTTGAAGCAACCTTGTATTTTTGGTCCTGGTGTGCTCTGGATGTGCTCTTGAATCCAGTTTACAGACTTGTATTGGAGTCTTAGTATCTCTGTTGATGAGGAAGCTTGGTCTATAATCAAGGAGTCTGGAGGCCATGACAGTGAAGGGCCTCATTGTGTCCTTACCTGCTTTTAGTGTCAGGGTAATGTTGGCTTTATAGAGTAAGTCTCCCAGAGTTCCTTCTCTTACTGTTTTGGGGAGCAGTTTGAAGCTCAGATGTCAACTCCTGTTTTTAAGAGCTGTGGGAGTACCTAAAATAAAAGCCACTTGCACCCTGGAAGACTTGACTCTTGCAGATCAGCCACTGAATGGATGGTGGACACAGCCTGCAGCACGAGGCCTGAGGCCAGGGCAGCCCTGAATCGGCTCAGCCACTTCAGACTGAGGCAAGAGTTTCCACCATCCACCTGCTCACAGCAGCCATACCCAGTACTTTGGGGAACCAAGGATAGTCCAAGGTGCTTGAAAATAAGGAGGCTCTGCCCAACAAGCTTCTTAGCGTGTTCTTTCCTACCACTTACTGAATGCCTTCTGTGTGCAGGGGAAGGCGTTACTCCAGAATTTCGATAGAATAGGACTCTGGGGGCTTCTGGCTACATGTTAACTGTCAGGGGTCATGAGTCCAGGGCTATGTCCCGAGAGCACATGTGCAAGGCAGGCGGACAGCTGCTGTTAGGCAGGGCTGGTTTAGGGTGGAGCCTAGGGGATTGATGGAGATGACCAGAGCCTATTAAAATCCCCCTATGGCACCACCCTGGCCGAGTCTTCATGAGCCGCTGTGACAGGTGTTAGGTGAGGTACTAGAGTCATTGTTACACCCAGTCACCAGAAGAACCCTTCACAGGGTCCTTTGGTTTTCTGTTGCTCAGTTCTGACCACTGGAAACACCACCATGGGGCAGGGACAGCCCCACAGATCAGCAAGCACTGCGCTGAGAACTGGATGGAGATGGCAGGAGGGGACAGTTGTCCATCAGCTTCAGACACGGGGGCTTGACTGGGGGCTACCTGCTGGACCTCCCGTTCTCTGGCAGGGAGGTGCCACTGTGCCACTCCTCTTAACCCTGCAACAGGCCCCATCTCCAGCAAGATGGACAGATGACACTGAAAGCTGGCTCTTAAGCCTTTCACTGTCATGGCCTCCAGTCTCCTCGACTATATAGCCACACCAGAGACACACAGAGTAGTGAGGCAGGACCTTCAGAAACTGCGTGTGCCCCTTGCTCCCTCTGCCTCACGTCACGCCCTCCCCTCACCCACTGATTCTGATCTTGGCAGCCTTACTCTCACATTTGAATAATCACAGGCAGGCTTTTATTTTTTAATAACAACTTGTTTAAGAGCAAAATACTTTACAAGAGAGTTTAACTCTGTAATTTAAGTCTATTCAATTCATTTTTCAGTACAACTTGAAATTAATTCATATTACAGATAAGTAAAACTGAAAATTCTGTTTTTGATTATTTTGAAATTTTTCACTTGCAACAATGCCCAGAACTGGATGAGTCAACTGTGTTTTGGCACACAGAAGCAGAGCTCAAGCACAGGGCCGTGCTCCACACTAGGACACACGGATCTGCAGATGACCAGTGCAGCTTCAGCCAGGCATAAATGTAAAAATGCAGTTCTTCAAATACCAGCCCACAGCAGCCTAAGGACAGGATCCTACTGCTGTGCGATGGGCATGACTGTTGGGACCGGCCTAATTGCAAACACACTCTGGGCACAGCAGAGTCCACACTGGAACAGGAGTGAACATAGCTCAAGTGCGCTACAGTGGGGGTTGCTGCATGGGGGCCGTGCTTGAGAGACTGAACACCAGTGATTCCCAGTGTGCAAATCCCAGTCCAGACTGGAACCCACTGCCCGGTGCTGCTCCTCTGGGGAGCTCAGTCCTCCACCCCCGACAGTTCTACCCTTCTCCCCTCATTGTTACAGCAGCATCTTCCTCCTCTGTACACTGCCCCGGAGCTCCGGCTCCAGTGCTGATTCCTCGCCTGTGGCAGCGATTACTTTGGGCTGGCCTTTGGCCTGGTGCCTAGGGGACAGCCCTGTGTGGGTGTGGAGCGGCCTGTGGTTTGGGGCAGCCTTGCCTGAGCCTGCGGTCCTGCTGCTGCTCCTGTAGACGCTGCCTGCCCCGGATCAGGGCCTCCACGTACCACTGCTGCTCTTTCCACTGCTGCTTCCTCTTCTCCAGCTTCTTCCTTCTGGCCTCCAGCTTGCAGTACTCTTGATCCAGCTGCCTCAGCCCCTCCCACAGCTGCCGGTTCTCAGTGTTGACTCCCCGGCAGAACTCGGTGTGAGCCTGCTTGGCTGTGGCCGCCAAGGCCTTGGCCTTCTTCTTCAGCTCCCTGGTGATGTTCTCTCCCGACTCCAGCAGGTTCAGCTCCTGCACCTGCTTCTCCAGGGCAGCCCTTTCCTGCAGGAACTGGATGTGAGCCTCACGGTCCATGAACCGGGTGTCCGCTGGGATGCTGGCCTGCTCCTGCTCCAAGGCCCGCAGCTTCCTTTCCTGGCTCTCCCTGATCCCTGCAATGGGCTTCAGGGTACGCAGCTGCTTCCTCAGGCCAAGCTGGACCTTCCTGCCCTGGCTCAGCTTCTTCTGGAGGTCCGCTGTTCGTGAGGCATAGGTGGAGACTAGCTCCTGCCTCCTGTCCTCCACCTTCTGGCACCGCTTGAAGTGCTCTCTCCACAGGGAGTCATACTTCTGCTGGCTCTGCTCCTTTTTCTGCTTCAGGTACTCCAGGAAGGGCTGGGTATCTGCATCCTCGAATGACTTTTCCTTCTGCAGCTCCCTGGAATCCCGCAGCAGTACTTCCTTCCTGCTCTTAACTGCCTTCATCTCCTGCTCCAGCTGACTCACCACAGTCACAGGCCTCCTCTTCACTGTCCTCTCCGGCCATGTCAGCAGGTTTGACTTCAGATAGTGGTTGAGAATGGTGATATATGGAGACTTTTGAGGGGAAGCCTGGGGGCTGGCAGGAGCACCCTCATGGGACTCCAGAGGTTCACTGGGGCAGCTGTCCAGTTCAGTGACACTCAGGCTTATCGCTGAGGAGCAAGTGCTGATGGTCTGGCCCAGCCAGTCCTGGGAACTTTGTCTAGATGGATGTGACTCCTTCTTCTTCTGGGTCTGTAAAACTAGCTCTGGCCACTTCACCCAGAAGTCACACATGGCCATATTCCTGGCCAGGGTAGGTCTGTACTTGTCATGGAGTGTCAGCAGGCTAGCTTCATCCAGCTGTGCAGGAGGTGCAGACATTCGGGCTCCTTCTCTGTAGGGGAAGAGGGTGCCTTTCCTGCCTCTGGTATCCCAGGTGGTGGAACTCTTATCTTTGGGACTTCATTTTTCTTGCCCTCTCATAGTCAGGACCTTGCCCTCCCAGATCCTGCTACAGATGCTCAGCACCCTTTCCTGGCTCGTCCCAGACTCCTCCCCTACCTTCCTTTGTAACCACACTCCATCACAGTCCCCGCTCTGCCCCAGCTCTGGAGTTGCTGACTGCCTGCCTAAACTCAGAATGTGGGCTGTTGGAGGCCAGTCTCCATTGGTGCTGTGGCCTGCTGGGTGGGGCTGGAGGAGTGAGTTGGGGCCTGGAAGAACGAAGGTGGGGCTAGCAAAGAGAAGGCGGGGCCTGGAGGGGGGAGGGCATGGTGCAGAGTGAAAGAAGGCTGGACCTGGAGTAGTCCTAGAGATCCATGTGGAGAATCAGGCTGTGGGAGAGGCACAAATGTTTTAATTTGCCTCTCTGTGGGAGAGGTCAAATGTAATCTTGGGGAACCAGGTGCCTAGAGGTCCCAGGTGAGAGGAGATGTTCACTGTCTTCCCGGTGGATGTGCTACTAACTATCCAAGTGAGGTTTTTGGAGTCCATAGGGGGAGTTAGCTAGGGCAGGTTCTATGAGAAAACATAAAAAGGCAACAAGGGTTAGGGTGTAGCAGTGATTTTTAGCTTGAGAGGATTGTCTTTTACCCATGTGACCTTCCATATCTTGTCGGCTTGGTCCAACCAATCCCCTGATGCAGGCTTCAGATACGAGTGATGTATCCAGGTCTTGACACCATCCACTTTGACCATGGTGGGGGTGGTGAGGATCATGATTTATGGCCCCTTCCAACGAGGTCTAGGGGGCTCCTTGTGGTGTCGCCTTACCCAAACAAGGTCTCCTGCTTGAATCCATGCAGTTGGGCTGGTGGCAGTTCGTAGATGTGCCTCAGCAAAGGGAAAATGTTTTGTGCAATCTGTAAGGCCTGTAGGGACTTAAGGAATTGGGATTCAGGCACATCAATTAGCACATCTGAAGGCAGTTTGGGAAGCAAAGGGGGTGGTCAGCCATACACTGCTTTCATAGCGTGTTAGGCCTTGAATATAGGGGGTATTTCTGACCTTATATAGGGCAAAAGGTAGGAGGCCTGTCCAGTCATAGCAATTTCTAGGGTTAATTTGGTTAAGGTCCGATTCATTT